AAAAACTGGAATTTTTTTAGAAACATTTAGGATTAGTTATCTTAGGTTAAGTAATTTTTGGTAAACTTGGTATTCTACCAAATACTATGAAATGCTTATTGGTTTTGCCTTAAATAATAATTCCAATACGTTTTAGCCATTTATCCTAAAATTAGTGATATTTCTAATCACTCATTTATATATAAAGAGAAATTGGTGGTACTCTTAAACACATAGAAAATTAACATTTTTCATACCAAAAAATTGACAAGTGGATACACATTATCTTATCAGAAGATAAGATTTGGACACCTAATCTTATATTCAGTTCAAAATTTGCATCAAATTAAAATCAATCTACAACTAACAAATTATAATTATAATCAAATATATAGCAATCCTAATCAAATCATAATTATTCATAATTTGAAAAAATGCTAATGGTCATATTTTTAATTCTTTTTTCATTTACATACAAAAGTGAGATTAATGGTTTAATATTAGCATTATATCTCAAAAGTTGCCACATTTTGTTCCTAAACTTTTAAAGACTAAATTTACTAAATCTCTAATAACTATGGGTGTTTTAGTACTAAATCTCAAATTTAAAATTCACTAAACATGCAATAATAATCATTTTTTTAAGTACTATTTGGAGCGGGCTGTCTGATGGTGCAAGTTAATGGGAGATCTGTTTTTTATTAACTTGCACCCCCGCTTAGATTTTTATGGAGAAGAAGAAGAAGAGGAGTGGGAAGAATCTCTTTAACATAGGATTGAGAGCTTCCAATTCAAGTTTGATTGGATCGGGGGATCAAATTGATACAAGTTTGGCTGAGGATGATGTAGATTTTGATAACATTGTTATGGGCTCGACAGGTCCGAGAGGGGAGAAGAATAAGACATCAATGGAAGATTTGCTTCGATCTACTGATTTCTTGGTTGATTCACAACATGTTGTGAGTTCTTCTCAGATGAATAGGATTCAAGCTCGTCGTCTCTTGAGCAAATCTTCAAACTCAGGTGAAGGCGCCAGCAGCTCGTCTAGGGTTTCCTGGGCAGATGAGGTCGAATTTGAGGTGATTTCTCCTGATTCTACTCTGATTCAAAATCTTTCTACAATTCCCTCAAGAGTTCTTGGTCCTGATACTATGATTTCAAAATTGATACCTGATACGGACACTGTTTCATTGATAAATGATGTGAGAAATTTGGTTGAGGTTAGGCCTGATGATGTGATTAACTCTGATGGAGAGGTTATAGAAAGAAATATGTTTGCTAAAAATTCTGTGAACTCTAAGCTGGAAACAGATGAGGTGATGTCCAGGATAAGTCTGTTAATGATCAAGATAATGTGGTGATTAATAAAAGGATGGGATCTGAAACAAGCAAAACTTTTGCTAGCATATTTACTAGTAATAGGAAAGAAGAAAATGGATTAACTTTGAACTTTATGCCATCTTCTAAATCCAATACAGTCTCATTTTCTACTGAAGAATGGAAGGAAGGTGAAAATTTATGGAAAAATGCCTTAATTGGACATGTCATAGGATTAAATATCAAATTTAAATCAATGGAGTCCTATGTCAACAAGTTATGAGGTAACATCTCTATACCAAAGGTCTCATTAATCAAGCAAGGATAATTCCTATTTGATTTTCAATCTTAAAAAAATAATGAGAGGTGTTCTTGAAGCTGGCCCTTGATTTTTTGGGTCTAGGCCTCTAATGTTGAAACCATGGAGCATTGATGCTGATTTAGATAAGATGCAGGACTTTTATTATCCTATGTGGGTGCAATTTTCAAACTTAAGATTAAACTTATGGAGCTCAATAGGCATCAGTAAAGTTGCTAGTCTTATTGGAAATCCTATTTCAACTGACAAACTCACGGCAACTAGACAGAGATTGAGCTATGCAAGAGTTTTGTTAGAGGTGAAATTACCTTTGAAAGAACCCTTACCTGATCAGTTTAATATCCAAGGGCTTGATGGAACAAGCTATACCCAAACAGTAATATATGAATTTAAACCTAAGTGGTGTTCATTGTGTAGCAAAATTGGTCATGACATAGAGCAGTGTAGAAGAATTAAAACTAAAAAGATATGGGTTCCTGTTATTAGACAGGCTGCACAGGTAACTGCTATTCCTGAGCTTGTTAAGGAATCTGATGTTATTCCTGAGCTTGATAAGGAAACTTCTGTTCGGCAAGGTTATATAGCATGTATTAATATTGGTCCTATTGAGCATGATGTGGAAAAAGTAGTTCTTCTGGTCAGGGAGCATTGTTAGCTGGAAAACGTGCATAGACTGAAAAACACGCACAGGCAGAATTTCTTTCTTCTGTCCAGAAAAGTAGGTCTGGGGAGAAAAGGGTGCCTGATTTAATCTTAGCTATGAATGCAACAAATGATTCACATTTTCAGCAAGTTTATTCCTCAACTCCGATTGTCAATGCATTTGGATTTTCCAGTATTAATAGAGCTAATCTAGCAAGGAGAGCTTCTATAGCCAATCCTGAATTTTCAGGTATCCAATTGTCTCACTTCTCTCCTTTGGATAAGCCTTCATGTGTTGACAGGGGTGGAAATCCTCTCTAATGCATCTTGCTATTTGGAATATAAGAGGATTTAATAAACCCTCTAAACACAAGATAGTGAAGTAGTTCATTCAAGATTATAATCTCTCCTTGTTAGGCCTACTGGAAACTAAACTTCCTAAAAATAAGTTGCAAAGTTTGGCTATGAAAATAACAAAAGACTGGAAGTGGATTTCTAATGTGCATGAAGCTAGTAATGAAAGAATTTGGATTCTATGGGATTGTGATATCCTTACAGTTCAAGAAATAACATCAACTGAACAATATATTACCTGTTCTATTAATTCCAGAGATGGTAAATTCTCCAGCTTATGTACTATTGTCTATGCTCTTAACCAAATGACTAACATGAGAATTCTTTGGAGAGATCTTCTAACATTTAAAAACAATGTCAATGGTCCCTGGATTATTGGAGGGGACTTCATTGCAATTACTAGCTATGATGAGAAGATTGGAGGTGTGCTAATATATATCTGATACTGATATTGAGGATTTTCAAAACTGCATCACCACAAGCCATCTACTTCATCTAAAATTAATTGGATGTTACTTCACATGGAATAATAAGCAAGATGCTGAAGCTAGAATCTGGTCCAGATTAGACAGATATTTGGTTAATGAAGATTGGATTCATCTATATACAATTAGTCAAGTAGAGTATTTGTTGCCTAGCTGCTCAGATCATTCTCCTGCTCTCCTAGCTATTGAAGATTATGTCATAGAAGGTAAGCGGCCATTTAAAATTTTCAACATGTGGGTGAATCATCCTGATTTCATCCCTACAGTCTAATCAATTTGGGAGCAAAGCATTGAAGGCTATAAAATGTACAGTTTTCACTCAAAACTCAAAAAGTTAAAGCCTGCTCTTAAAGAATTGAATAAGAAGCACTTTATGAATATAAGTGAACAAGTGTTAGAGCAAAAGATAGTTTAGCTGATGTTCAAAGGCTGCTGAGTGGGGATCTCTTCAACTCAGATTTGATAAAAAGAGAAAAACAATGTATCAAAAAATATGACAGACTTCTGGAATGTGAATCCTCCTTCTATAAGCAAAAGACTAATATAAATTGGAGTCTAGAAGGGGATAAAGGATCTAAATTCTTCCACTCCATCATGAAAAAAAAAAGGCATCAAAACAGAATTCTGACACTCTATACTGAAAGTGGAATCAGAATCACTGACAGTGTTGGAATTATTTTTGAAATTGTTGAATATTACAAAAAATTGCTGGGAACTTCAGTCTCTACAAATAATCCTGAACCAGTGGTGATTTCTAATGGCCCTCTTCTTTCCTATGATCAAAGACATGCTTTAAGCCTTCCAGTTACAAGAAATGAGATAAAACAAGTTATCTTCTCTATGCCAAATGACAAAAGTCCAGGCCTGGATGGTTATAGTGCTTTGTTCTTCAAAACTTCTTGGAGTGTCATTAGTGAAGAACTCTTCTCAGCAGTTGAATAATTCTTTAGCTCAAGAAAATTGCTTGGTACATTCAATACCACCTCAATCACCTTGATTCCAAAGATACTTAATCCTCAATATGCTGCTGACTTCAGGCCTATATCTTGTTGCAACTGTGTGTACAAAATCATAACCAAAATCATTGCATCTAGAATCCAAAAAATAATGGGATATCTGATAAGTGATGCATAGAGTGCATTTGTCAAAGGCAGGCTTATATCATGTAATATCCTTTTAGCACATGAGATTGTTAAGCATTATGGCAGAAAGCATTCTACCCTTAGAGCTACATTGAACATTGATTTGAGGAAGACATTTGATACAATCAGCTAGGGATTCATCAGAGACACGCTAAAAGGATTGAGATTCTCTGAAAACATGATTTCCTGGATCATGGATTGCATCTCAACACCTAAATTTTTCATATCAATTAATGGTACTCTTCATGGCTATTTTCAAGGGGCTAGGCAATTGCGGCTAGGTGATCCTTTATCTCCATGTTTGTTTGTTATTAGAATGTAGTATTTGTCTCGGAAACTCAGCATCCTCAAGGAGGACAGACTTTATAAATTCCATCCTAAGTGTTCAAGGTTGAATATAACTCATTTAGTATTTGCATATGATCTCCCCCTGTTTGGCAAAGCTGATATGTATACAATGTCAAGATTAAAGGATTGCCTTACGGAGTTTAGTCAAGTATCTGACTTAGAACCAAATCCGTCAAAATGCTCTATATTTATGAGTGGGATTGATGAAAGCCTGAAGAATCAAATTTGAAATTTCCTTAACTTCTTTGAGGGGATTTTGCCAATACGCTACTTGGGTATGCCTCTAATCTCTAAAAGACTTTCTTGGTTGGACTGTTCTCCCCTCATTAACAAGATATCTAACCAGTTTCAAAACTGACTCAAAAGGAAGACACTCTCATATGCTGGCAGATTACAACTGATAAAATCAGTAATTATGGGGATTCAAATCTACTGGACTAGTAATTATATTCTCCCCATCAAAGTTCTTGAAAAAATTGATAGAATGTGCTCAGACTTCTTATGGGGTCATAAAGTTCATTTGGTGTCTTGGGGCTTTATTTGCCAGGAGATTGATCATGGTGGTCTAGGGCTATTCTCTGCAAAATATTGGAATTATGCTATGACAGCAAAGCTCCTATGGATGATACATCTTAAAAAAGATATTCTCTGGGTTAAATGGATTAATGGCCACTATTTAAGACAAGTTAACATCTAGCAAGTCCAACCTAAGAAGAGTGATTCATGGCAGTGGAGACAACTACTAAAAGTGAGAAATTTGTTGATTGATAAACTTGGAAGTGTGAATAACTTATAGAATGTCATCAGTGGCAGCTGTGTTAATGGCAAACTAAGTGTATCAGTGATGTACATGAATATATTTCAGCAATCTGACTTAACAGAATGGTCAAGGACTGTATGGGGAGGATGGCATCTACCTAAGCATTATTTTATTCTCTGGTTGGCATCTCTATCTTAGCGCAAGAGAGGCTATGTAGAATGAGGATTTTGAGCTCTAGTCAGTGTGTTTTATGCTCAAGAGAAGGCCAGACTGAAACCTGTCAGCATCTATTCTTTGATTGCCTTTATTCTACAAGTGTATGGAATAAGGTAATGGACTGGTTATATTTCAATTGGAAGTCATGCAAATGAGACCAAATCATCAACTGGTTCAGTAGAAATCTGAGGGGGGAAAAGCTGCAAAAAGAAGTTGAAAAGGATGGTCTTATCCGTATCAGTTTACATGATTTGGCAAGAGAGAAACCTTAGAATCTTCCAACATAAATCAAGAGGTTCTGATCATCTTTTTAGTATGATAAAGTTACATGTATATACAAAAATTTTGAATGATAACATACCACATCATATGAAAGAGTATGTGGAAAATTGTAACTTTTGAAGACTGGGTTCTATAACCAGTCTTGAGAGAACAGTATCTTGATGTACTCAATATTTTCATACTTTGGTAATGAATAAATTTTTTTCATTGACCAAAAATAATAATAATAATAATCCTTTCTTTAGCCTGACATATCAAAAGATTGTCATGTGGTCCTTCATAAAATTTTAAAGCTTAAATTTTATTAAATCTCCAATAAGTTTGATCGCTTGGTACTAAGGCCCAAAACTTTACTAAACCCCAGATAATTTTATAGATTTTATAAAAACCACCAAAATATATTAGTGTTTTCCAGTTAACCCACATAACGATGTCAGCCTACAATTGTATAGTAATGAACATTATACCTCAAAGCCCATGTATATCATTCAAAACGTTCTTATTTGCAGATTAACCCATAAATTTAAGAACAAAACCCCTAAAAATATAAAAATTATAAACATCCCAGTTAAAATATGAAACTACAAATGAACCCCTAAAAATTTTAAAAATTATAAAAATCTTT